CTTTCCCAGCTTGTTGGTGGGGCAGCCATTCAAGCCCCTCTGGCGTTTACTGTCTAAGGAAGGACTTCCATTTCTTCCCTAAAACATGTTTTTTCTTCATTCACTGGCTGGATTCATTTTACCAGTTCAGTCTTCATAATGCAATGGAATAAAAATACACATTTTGTAAAATTTAACACAAAGAGCACTGATGTGGAAGTTAAAAATATCTGTTTCTCTCCTCAATTTTATCATTACCTTTTGGGGAAAACAAGTACAATCTGAAATTTCTCTGTACTCAGAGTTACATCATAGCAGAATGACCGCCTAATACTCTGCAGTAAGCTTTAGGAAACTTGATGAGGAGGAACTCCTACAACACAAACTTGCACCAAACCAACCAAATGAAAAACCAAAACCAACACCAAAAACCGAAGAATGAGAATCTAATAAAACTCTCACTACTATGTATTTTGTTTGTTTGCTTTGCTTTGCTTTGCTTTTCAAGTTTCTTGATTGCTAGCATTTTCTTTAACTAGAGATGGAAATTTTAACACACACACACAAACACACACACACACCATTTAATTCAGTTAAAGTAAGTTGTTCTATGTTTCTTTTTATTTTCTTTTCTCCCTTTTTTTTCATCAGAGCTGGCTCCCAGAGACTTTGTCCCTGAGCAATATAAAAATTGAGCCCTAATTATTTCTCATTTTTGTGGACCTGGGTATCTCTGGTAGGGATGTGGTGAATAAGATGAAGCAGGTGGGGTGGCTTGCAAAAAAAAAAAAAAACACACACACACACACACACATTAAAAAGTTGAATGGGCTAGATTTATGAAGAGTTACTTAAGAGTGGTATATGTTTTTATACTTAAGAGCGGTATATCCTTTTTACAGTCAGTACGCAAAACATAGGGGAGATGGCCAGCACCTATAAGGTTGAAGTTCTGCTGCACTTAATAGAAAAATAAAATAGAATAAAGTGGCCAAGCACAAGAGATATGTTTACCTCCTATGTAAATGAATCCAGAGGTTAGCAGTCCCTGGCTGGTATGAAGACTCCCCTACGTCATTAAGGAGCAGGCTGTGATTGTTCTGTGTAACCACCACCACACTGGTTTCCATCACGCAGATCAGCTCATAGCACAACATGACTGCTGGATTTCCAGCTGTTTTATCTGTTTTCCAAACCCCAGAAATGAGAAAGGTATTGGGCAGAAAGCAGCACAAATGATTTGGCATCTCTTAAATAGGTGTTTTCTTATGTCGTAAACTATGCTTTAACATAATTACATTAGCTAAAACTTAGTCAAGCGTCCACATCTAGTTGCAAGAGAATGGGGAACACAGTCCCTTAGCTTATCCAAGCTTCCCGCATTTACAACCAGAGGATGTTAAGGAGGTGATGGAGAATGTAGGCTGGGCAGTCTCTGCTCCAGGGTCAGCCTCCCCATGTCCACACAGCACCCAGGACTGATCTCACTCCCTGGAGAACTGTGGCCTTTGGACATTCTAGTGAGAAGGATATTAGCACAGTTCCTGGAGTCTATGAGCATGAGCAAAAAATGTAGGTCCCAATATTCAGAGAACACTAGCGTAGGGGCAACAGAGCAAGAAAGATAAATCTTTACTGACAGTGAGTAGGCATAGGGTAAACATATGGATGTGTCTGATGGCCTTAGCAAGTGGCACACAGGAAAATAAAAGAGAAGCATTTTGAAAGGCGAAGAAGAGTGGCTAAGTCATACTCCCCAAAGACAGCTCAATTTCATGCAGTTTGGGTATTGAACTTATTAAGACCCCATCCCATATTCACATGTGTGAAATGAAGCCTGTGCATAGTCATTGCAAGAACCTATACTAACAGCCTCCAAACGCTTTGATCATGTTCACACCCCTATCAGAAAAGAAAGATCAAGCAACCACTCACAAAATGCATTTATGAAGCATGAATGAAATGCATCTACTACTGTAGTGATGTATTTATATATGAAAGATTACACACAAAATGGAAATTGTAAAAATGATGAGGTGGAACAAAATGTTGAGAAAAGTGCTAATACTTTCCCCAAATCTGATGTATGATTTTACACAATCCTTGGCATGAACCTCCCCACCTAGGAGACTATGGATGCGGGGACTTGGAAGAATGAGGCTAATTCGACATTTATAACAGGCACTCTGCTAGTCTTTCTGATAAAAGTAAATAACATAATTTCCAAAAATAAGTATGTATCTTTAAATACTTAAATTTTCTTTGTAGAGATAAAAGATATCGACAAATCATTGTAATTTAGGGATAAGTACAACATTCAAGTTTTGTACTGGATACTGAGACAGTGATGATCGTGTCTGACAATCAGAAATGCTTCATGAAAAAGAAGATGTCATAGAAAAGAAAAAAAGATGTAGAGAGATATTTTCACTGGTGAAGCAAGCTCCGGTAAGAATGCGTATATTAAGTGTAGAAATATCTCACCTCTTGATATGATTCTCTGTGCCCCCAAACTAGTACTGTACAGTTATGTGTGTGTAGATAGATATGAGTTAGAAAGACCATGATTATTATAAGTAAGATAAAAATAATCTCAGAACTTGCATTGATTGATTCATGTGTTCATTTTTACATATATTCATTGCTTTATATCTCTACTTATTCATTCAGTCAAAAATATTTTACCAATCCCAATTATGTTGTGGGCATTGTTCCAGACCTAGAAGTCAAGAGGGGAATATGGTCTCATAACCCCTGTCCTCACGGGACTTATATTTTATAGGAAAAGACGTCATGAATAGAAAGATGGATACACATATTATGTGGCAGGTACTGATATAGTCTCTGAATAAACGTAAATAAAGGAAATTTGACAGTGACAAAGGTGTGGTTTTTAGCTAGGGTATAGAGAGAAGGGTTCCCTGAAGATATTAAGGATTTGCCTACAGAAAATAAGGGAGCAGGACCTGTGAACATTTGTTCATAAAACAAATTACAGTACAGTTTTGGGCAATTTAAGTTTGAGGTGCCCTTTAGCCACCCAAGTGGCAATGTCCAGTGTGCTATGCGATATACAATGCTGGGGTTTGGGAGAGAGGCTAGTCCTGGAAAGCACTGTGGACTTCATTGCTGGTCTCTACAGCCAGGGACAAGATGTGTTAACCTGGGGAGAGGAGAACAGATGGACTCTGAGCCCTGGGACTCCACCGCATGCAGAGGTCGGAAGAGGAAATACATCAGGGAGAGACACTCAGGAGGTGCAGCCATTGAGCAAGGAAAAATGCCAGGCCAGTGCCATGTCACAAGAAAACAAAAAGAAGAAGAAGTAACAGCCTCAGGAAAGAGAAGTAGCAACACTGTCAAGTACTGCTGAGAAATAGAAAACAATGAAATAGAAGAACTGGTCTTTACTAATCATGAAAAGATCTGGAAATTTAGTTCTCATATAATAATCACAGAGGCAGTTCTTTTCAATATACGGCAGATTAGAACAAAAAAGTTACAAAAGATGTTAGTGATTTGGATGATGAGATAGCCTAGGCTGGCGGGTCCTAATGAACCAAGGGCTTGAAATTCGACTTAATTTTCCCACGTATTAATATAGAATCACACATCACCAATGCATTAAAAACTAAGTCACATACAAGCATAATTTTAATTTGTATTGCACTTTCTCTCTGAACTTTTTTTTTTTTTTTTTTTTTTGAGACGGAGTCTCGCTCTGTCGCCCGGGCTGGAGTGCAGTGGTGCGATCTCGGCTCACTGCAAGCTCTGCCTCCCGGGTTCCCACCATTCTCCTGCCTCAGCCTCCCGAGTAGCTGGGACTACAGGCACCTGCCACCACGCCCGGCTAATTTTTTGTATTTTTAGTAGAGACGGGGTTTCACCGTGTTAGGCAGGATGGTCTCGATCTCCTGACCTCGTGATCCGCCGACCTTGGCCTCCCAAATTCTCTCTGAACTTCTACATAGATCACCCGTCGAGGCTCCTCTGGTCTAGGCTGCAGGAGGATGGGTAAAGGTAGAGGTTCCAAAGGTTTTAGCAAAAAGACTCTGGGCACAGTCTCTGAAATGACGATTAGAACAAGGTCTCAGGGAAGAAAGAGCTCCTGTAGCATGGGTAGCAGAAAGGACCGCCTTTACCCTTTCCTTCCATTTTCACTCTTATTCTTCCTTCTGTTGACTGCCCTTTACTATCCCTGTTGTACATTAAGAGACCCAGCCCATAGGGTGAGGAAAATGGTTTTGGTTTTAAAGAAGTTTGTCAGATGAAATTTGTTGGCAATAATACGGATTTGTTTTCCGCCCTCTCTCCACCTTTCTCCTCATGGCCTTCTGCAATTGTGTGAGGTGGTAGGTGGGGAAATGGGGTTGCATAGAGTTATCTTAGCAGGGATGGGGAAAGAGCACAGAAATTACCAAAATAAAGTGACTGCTTCCTTTTCTCTATAAGTTTCTGAAGTCTGCATTAAATTCTGGCTGAGCATTGGCTCTTTATAAGTTTCTGGAAAATGACAATGAGCTTTGGTGAACATATAGCAGTTTAATCATGTAATCATGCATCGCACTGATTTAGTTTTAAATTCTCAGGAAACCTCAGTCAAGCAAACGAAGGCTTAATTTCACTCAGAATCAAACATGAAGATGACATTTCAAATGACCCTCTCCTGTCTATCTCACCATCTTTTTTCCTTCTACCCTAACAGCATGACACAGTACGCAAAGCGCCACACAAACACACTGGAATGAACTGTGAAAAATGAAAATAATTCTGTTTTTCTACTTGAAGCTCAGCTTTCCCAGGGAGAGAGCCTACAGTTGCTTAGAGAATACAGCATTGTTTTGACTCCGGACTCCGATTCACATGCTCCACCTAAAGTTCAAGGATTGTGTATTTTTTCAACACTGGATAAACTTTAAGGGGGAACCCGAGGAACAGCAATTACTTTGGAATTCATTCTGCCATTTAAGTGGCTTCTCACTTTGAGGAAACAATTAAAGTTTTTCTCTTCTGGCCCTTAGATCCTGGGATAATTTGGCATCAACATTTCCTCGGAATGAACTTAAGAGACGAAGCTGAGAGAGGCACAGGACAATCAGTCTCATACAAGCGTCTTGTCTTTGTCACTCCACAGGGCTCCTGCAGTGAGCTCTAAGTCCCAAGATACCATGTGAGTGTCAGAGGCCTAATGGTTTTGAAAGCTGCACACACACATTTTTTTTTGCACATTTAATACAGTGTTTCCTAAGGCAATATAGGCTTGCTGTTTGCATAATCCATAAGCACCCATATCATGCTGAAGGCATGCAAAGCAAATTGAGAAGCAAAGAAGAATATCTCCCACTTTAAGGGATGCACAAACAGCAGCAGTTTGACAGATACTGTTGAGCACAAAGGCCAGCTGGAGTCAGAAATTACAGGATGTTAGATCCATACTCTATGATTTTGAACATCTCTGGCTATATTATCCTTTCTTTGTTGCTGTTTCTTTCTAGAATTCATGGATAACTTATATCTAAAGCCAGAAAACATTCACAGTAAGAAATAAGTTAGTGCATGCATTATCTAAACAGCAAATTATCAGAGATTGGTGTTACAGATATATACATAGATAGGAAGTATCTATCCACAGGATTGTTTCTTTAGCAAATGAAATTATGACATTCGAATGACTGAATACAATGGAACTGTTTAATCTCAACCCTCTAAGATTTGGGTTAGATCCTAGTAGAATACAGTTACTTTGGCTATCTATTTACCTAAGGTTTATAGTAAAAGGACAATAATGGAAATTTTAATATTATTTCCAACACAAATTTCTACTAATATCATCCACTGAGTATCTCTTTATGCCAGTGTTTGTTCTATAGCACTCTGATTCTTTGATGGAGTCTTGCTCTGTTGCCCAGGCTGGAGTGCAATGGTGCAGTCTTGGCTCACTGCAACCTCCATCTCCTGGGCTGAAACGATTCTCCTGCCTCAGCCTCCCGAGTAGCTGGGATTACAAACGTGCACCACCATGCCCGACTAACTTTTGTATTTATGGTGGAGACAGGGTTTCACCATGTTGGCCAGGCTGGTCTTGAACTCCTAACCTCAGGTGATCTGCCCACCTTCACCTCCCAAAGTGCCGGGATTACAGGCATGAGCCACCGCTCTCGGCCGCTCTGATTCTTTCCTCCATGATATGCCACGTTGTCTGGCATGTCCAGGTATACTAAACTACGTTTCTAGAAATACCTAGTCAAAGCAAACATACTGTAAAATGTAGATGCATAATTATGACTAAAATATTATGATGAATTAAAGTGAGGTTATTTCACTTCTAATCCTTCTTCTGTTCTTTCTCTCTCTGTGTAGGCAACATTCAAGAAGGAGCCATCTACCTTGAGAATATAGTCTCAGATTGCCTCACTAGAGGAAAACAAACAATTTGAAGAAATCAAGGATGCTCTTATGCCACAATCAAAATAAACTAATCTAAAATTGGTTAAGGAAACAGCCTAAAGGATGAAAAAGATGCATCTCTCAGCTGGAAAGATGATCAGGGATTTCTAGACTTATTAACACCATATGAAATAAATTAGCATCTCGTCCTTTCCAAAGTGAGAACACCAAAGTAAGTTTTTGATTTCATAGCATTATACATGAAAAACTGGACAGGGCTCTAGCCTTTTCTGTAGTCCCAGTGACTCCCCGCATTGCTAATTCCAGGGCAAGATTTCATCCTCATGTCTGTGACCCATCAGCAATATTAGGCAGAGATGCTTTCTTCTTCCTCCTTGCCATACTTTCTGGATTTGCTTCTAGGACACTGTTTTCTTCTGGTTTTCCTTCTCCTTCACTGATTTTCCTTCTTAGAAACTCTTTTGTGGATTCTACTCCTTTGTCCCAATCTTTTAAAATCGAGGGTCAAGAATTCAGTTTTGGGTTCTTTCCTCTACCCTTACTGACTCCCTTGGTGAACCAATCTTCCCATGGGCTTATATCATGTATATGTCTGGATTTTATTTAAATGCATCTTAAGCCTCAGTCCTTCTCCTAAAATCTAGACTCATATTTCCACTGAAAACATGATATATCACCTTTGATGTCTAATAGATATTCCAAGTACAACATATGCACACTTAGCCCCTACACGTTTCAATAAACCTGCTCTATATTGGCTTTCTCAACTTTGTTAATGTCAAATTCTTGCTTTAATTTGCTCAAGCCAAAGTCCTTGGAGGCTTCTTTTACTGCCCTCACTCTCTTATACTTTATATCTAATGAAATGGTTAGAAAATCCTGACAACATTGTTGCTCTGCCCATTAAAAAGTAGAAATTCCTTTTGGCTCTTTGAAATGTATCCAGAGTCCAATAATTTCTTGCTACACTCAAAGTAGTATACTGTTCCAAGCCAGTATTATCGCCTGCTTAGATTACTGCAAAAGTCTTCTAGAAGCTCTGTTCCTCTGCTCTCTTTTGTCTATTCTTAAAATAATAGTCAAAATAATCCTTTTAAATATTGCATTATGTCACATCATTGCCTCCGACTCTATTCAAAAGTCATGCTCTTTACAGGGAGCTATTTGATATGGTTTAGCTGTGTCCCCACCCAAATCTCATCTTGAATTCCCACATGTTGTGGGAGGGACCCAGTGAGAGGTAATTGAATCATGGTGGCAAAGTCTTTCTGGTGCTTTTCTCATGATACTGAATAAGTCTCACGAGATCTGGTGGTTTTAAAAAGAGGATTTCCCCTGCACAATCTCTATCTCTTTGCCTGCTGCCATCCATGTAAGACATGACTTGCTCCTCCCTGCCTTCCACCATGAGACTTTTCCAGCCATGTGGAATTGTAAGTCCAATTAAACCTCTTTTGTAAATTGTTCAGTCTCAGGTACACTCTTTATCAGCAGCATGAAAAGGGACTAATACACTATTAGAATGTCCATAACCTGGCTCTGGCCTTGCTGGCTACTCCAGTCCTCACCCATGGCTCCTACACTACAGTACTCTTGCAATTCACAGAGAACTACAGGAAAATTCCCACCCTAGGGCCTCAGCATCCTCTGTTTCTCTGAATGAAATGCTCACTCCTCCGGTGTCCAGTGGTCAATTCCTTCCAGTTTCTACAACTTCATAAGGCCTGCTTTCCCTACAATTTTGAAAATTGCAACCCTCTCCTCAAATCCTCTTTGCTCTACATTTGACTTTTTCAAAACATTGATCAGCCTCTGAATTACTGTGTGATTTACTCATTAATTATAATTACTATTATGATGAGTAAGAATGTAAGATCCTCAAGGGATGGCATCTCTGTTTTGTTTTAGAATATGCACCCCCCAATATCTAGAAGAATATGAATTACACAGTGTGAAATGCAGAAGAACTACTAAACTGTCAAGATGCTATGAATCAAACCCCAAAATTTTAGAAAATTAAAATGGCATAAGGAAGAAATTTAAAGGAAAGTCAAGCCAAGTATTTATATGGGAACCCTCTCTATCAGGTGAGGGACCTTTCTCCCTCCTTTTTTAATCTCCCCTGATTAATACTCACTTCCAAAGGACTATGTTTACATGGATCTAAAAACCATAGCACAGAATAAGCAGAACAACTCAAAACTACCATGAAGCATCCATAATTCTGGGCTTATTTTGTTTCTCTCAGCCTCCTGCTTTTAGAGAGAGAAACTTCTGTCCTCTCTTCTCGAAAACACTTTAGTTTGAAAGTAAAAACAAACAAAAACCATTTTGCAATATTGTGATGGTTAACTTTGAGTGTCAACTTGATCGGATTGGGGGATGCAAAGTATTGTTCCTGGGTGTGTCTGTGAGGGTGTTGTCAAAGGAGATTAATATTTGAGTCAGTGAACTGGGAGACTCAGACCCAGCCTCAATCTGGGTGGGCACCATCTAATCAGCTGCCAGTGTGGCTAGGATAAAAACAGGCAGACGAATGTGGAAAGCTAGACTACCTGAGTCTTCTGGCCTCCATCTTTCTCCTGTGCTGGATGCTTCCTGCCCTCCAACATCGGACTCCAAATTCTTCAGCTTTTGAACTTACACCAGCGGTTTCCCAGGGGCTCTTGGGCCTTCAGCCACAAACTGAAGGCTGCACTGTTGGCTTCCCTACTTTTGAGGTTTTAGGACTTGGACTGGCTTCCTAGCTCTTCAGCTTGCAGGCGGCCTATTGTGGGACTTTACCTTGTGATCATGTGAGTCTATTCTCCCAATAAACTCCCCTTTATATACATATATATATACACACACACACACACACACACACATAAGTTTATTCTCCCAATAAACTCCCCTTTATATATAAACTATATATATACTATATATATACTGAATAAACTATATATATACTGTGTATATATATACACTGTATGTGTGTATCTATCCACAGGATATATATATAATATATATACACACACTAACACAAATATCAAGAGCGATTTGACTTACATTTTTCCTAGTTCTTATCACGTTGGCCTCATTTTTCCAACTCAGAAGAGTAAAAAGATGAAAACACAACTGATTTTTTCTTCTCTTTGTTTCCTATGGTTTCCTGTCACTATCAAGATATTCCCTTTTCAATCCTTGACTTTTATGTGGCAAAAATAATTCTTTGAATTATTTTTCAGAATTTCTAAATTGCCTTGTATATTGTTGTTTTTATTCTCTCCACCTGTTGAGGATGAGATATGCCTTGTTTTAAAGGAAAAGTAAATGCCACTTACCTAAAGAATCTATTGCTACTAACCTTTGACTTTCAAATGATGTGTTTCAAAATTTATAATAGAGAGGATAGCCATTCAAAACCTGTACTTCTATTGGGAGGGGTAGAGAGAATTGTATATGGAAGAGAGAGAGAGAGCGAGAGAGAGAGAACTGTACAGAGAGAGACAGAGAGCATCTAAAGGTATAATTTTCATAACATAAGTTATTGTTTAGGATACTTCAGTGTATAATCTAACCCTAACTTCCTGCCTGCTATTGTTTGAATGTGGAATGTATCCCCCAAAATTTCATATGTTGGGAAACTTAATCACTAATTCAACAGTATTAAGAGGCGGGGCTTTCAAGAGGTGATTAGGCCATGAGGGCTGTGAGTTTTCTCCGGAGTGGAGTCATGATTAAAATGAGTTCAGCTGGCTGGGCACGGTGGCTCACAGCTGTAATCCCAGCACTTTGGGAGGCCAAGGCAGGCGGATCAGGAGGTCCTATACTCTGTTCCACATTAAGTGACAAAGGGTGGCCTACAATCCTAAACAAACCATAGCTTAGCATCTGTGCATTGAAGTTAAGATAAGACTCCTATCTTCCTCCAGCAAATGCATCACTGTCTCTAGGACCCTGTATAATCTGTTAATGATCATGACTCCAGTTGGGCATCAGGATGAGAAGGAATTAAAGTCACTGTGTGCCTCCCATGGGGTTCACCCAGGTAAAACATGAGGATTTCCCATAGCTGAGGCTGTGGAGCAGTGCCCAAAGCACTCAGGGATGGATAGAGTAGGAGGTAACTGAGTCTCAGTGAATGCTGATCATGAATTCCATGTCTGAATATGAGCTGCTCCTGCGTAATAGTCCCAAGAAATCACAAATTGAAGTACCTGGAGAGACTCAAATAAGATGCTATGTTAGTCCATTTTCATCTTGCTGTAAAGAACTGCTCAAGACTGAGTAATTTATAAGGGAAAAATGTATAATTGACTCACAGTTCAGAATGGCTGGGGAAGCCTCAGGAAACTTACAATTACGGCAGAAGGCAAGGAGGAAGCAAGGCACCTTCCTCACAAGGCAGCAGGAAGGAAAAGCACCAAGTGAAGGAGTAAGAGTCCCTTATAAAACCACCAGATCTTGTGAGAACTCCCTATCACAAGAATAGAATGGAGGAAACCGCCCCCATAATTGAATTACTTCCACCTGGTCTCTCCCTTGACACATGGAGATTATGAGGATTACAATTCAAGATGAGATTTCGGTGGGGACACGAAGCCTAACCATATCGGATGCCCTTCTCCTGATGTCTAGAGGCTTGATTAGCCTTGCCCATAGATTCACCTCAGGAGAGAAAAGGGGAAAGGGAGAAATCTGAGAGGGGAGAGAAGCCATGACAGAAAAGTTAAAACTTTCCTTACCTGAACCTAAGTCATAAAGTGGCTAAGTAACTTGAAACAGGCTATGAATTCTCAAATAATAATAATAATAAAGTGAAAAATGTTTTGCAATATTGTAAAAGTAGGAACTTCCAAGGAAGCTAATTTCATCTTTTAAAAATAAAGACAAAAAATCATTAAAATATTATGTGTATATTTTGAAAGTAATACCTACCTACCTATCAGTGCTTCTCTGACAGTCTCATGATTCTGTATCTGCACTGAAACCCGATTTCAAGCCCATGTCCAATTACTGTTGAACAAAATGACTGTCTTCAATGGTCTTTGCCTTGCTGTATCTCTGCAACATACTACCACATGCTGTCAGGCTGAATTAACATTGAATACATGCTTTTCACTAAATCTAGGAGATCTTCAATAACTTTTGTGGCTGATGATTATTTGTAGGTATTGTATTACTTCTACAAAATTTTTCTAAACTTTTAAAAATAATTTTGAAATCATGTACTTTAATAAAATATAAAACCAATTTCTGAAAATTATTTTCATATACACTTTCTTCTTCAAACTGATAACAAATTCATAAGACAAAAAATGCTAACACAATTTGAGCATCTAGATGGCATGTATTTCTACTTTTGTCTCTAAATTGCCAGAAGCCTGTTCATGAAATATATTTCAAAAATAAAATAAGAACTTATTGGAAAGACAAAGTTTGTTCTCTACTTGAAAACCTAAAATTAAAGAATAAGTAACTCCTCACCTGGTTTTAGTGGCAACATTTCCAGGAGACTAGTACCAATGTGATGATAAGACGGATGATACATAAAAGGACTGAATATTATTTTTTAGTGTATGGTAAACAATAATTGATTTTTTTTTAACAGAGAAGGCCAAGGTCTTGGCCTTGACATGAGTAGAATTATTATCACTTTAAACAGGAAGTGAAGGGTTCTCTCTTATTTTATTTTTTGTTTGTTTTTTTTTTTTGGCAGATGGATATCATATTGCTCAAAGTGTCCTCAAACTCCTGGATACAAGGGAATCCTCTTACCTCAGCCTCTGGAGTAGCTGGGAATATAGGTGCGCCAATACTCAGCTCTACCTCTCTTAGTAATGGAACTAATCTTGTTTTACAGTTATATTTTAATGATTTTCAGGATTTACTTCAAGTGATTCTGTCTTCATTTAAAGATTATCTGTGGCTCTCAGATCTCTCAAATAATGTTTAGGAGAAAATTAAGTCTGAATCCAAATGCAACACACAGTATACCTCAATTTTATAAATTCCTACTTAGAGACACAGAAGAAGGTACTTACAGCATCCACTGATGGGCAAATTCTCCTAAATACCCCCTTTAATTTTTCCCCCTTAGGATTTCTCCTCCCTCAGCAGACACCACCTTCTTCTTTCTCCCTCTCTCCAACTGTTCGACTGTTCAGTAACCACACCAACTCCAATCTCTTCCCCACATTCCTTTCTAAAATCGTGTCCATCTGCATGGAGATAATTTGAGCAAAATGAAAAGTCATCCTTAACTAGAACTAGAATCACCTCCTGTTGCCTTTTAAGCTGTTGGGGGACATTTATTCCCACCACAGTGTTCTACAGAACAATTTGAAATAGAATTACTATGTTTAAAAAATACACAAAATAGGCCGGACGCGGGGGTTCAGGCCTGTAATCCCAGCATTTTGGAAAGCCGGGGCGGGTGGATCATGATGTCAGGAGATTGAGACCATCCTGGCTAACACGGTGAAAACCCATCTCTATTAAAAATACAAAAAAATTTGCCGGGCGTGGTGGCTCATGCCTGTAGTCCCAGATCCTAAGATCTTAGCTACTTGGGAGGCTGAGGCAGGAGAATCGCTTGAACCCAGGAGGCAGAGGTTGCAGTGAGCTGAGATCACGCCACTGCACTCCAGCCTGGGTGACAGAACGAGAATCCGTCTAAAAAAAAAGGAAGGAAGGAAGGAAGGAAGGAAGGAAGGAAGGAAGGAAGGAAGGAAGGAAGGAAGGAGAGAAAAGAAATACACAAAATAATTTAGCTATTGCTAAGCTATGATGAGGATAAGTTATGCATATCCTTGCTACTAATAATGCCAATTTATTATTCCGGAGACAATGCAAAAATTAAGTCCTTTTGTCAGTTGATGAGAAGAGAAGGGTGTCTATATTGCTCATTCACTAGTCAACAAATTTAAATCAAAGCAGGGAATTTATATAAAATTAAAATAAAGCAACTAAGAGAAGAGAAAAGAACAGCAGTCCCTTGAGTCACTTGTTCACTCTCTTAGGTACAGTTCTCTAGAGAAACAGAACCAGAAAGACATAGACAGAGAAAGAAAGAAAAATACATTTATTATGGAGGCTGAAAAGTCCCACACTCTGCATTTGGCAAGTTGGAGACCCAGGTGAGCCAATGTGTATCAGTTCCAGTCACAAAACAGAAAATAACCGATGTACCAGTTTTTTGTCAGTCAGGTAAGAGAAATTCCTTTTTGTTTGTCAGAGGGTCAGACTTTTGTCCTATCTGGACTTTTAACTGATTGGATGAGGCCCACTCACATTGGGAAGGATAGCCTGCTTTACTCCATCTACTCGTTTAAATGTAAATATCATCCATGAGTACATGCCTGTAATCCAAGCTCCTCGGGAGGCTGAGGCAGGAGAATCACTCGAACCCAGGAGGCGGAGGTTGCAGTGAGCCAAGATCGCACCACGGCACTGCAGCCTGGGTGACACAGTGAGACTCTGTCTCAAAAAAATTCAACACAACACAACATAATACAATGCTGTGCTATGCAACACAAAACAAAATTTAAAAATACCATCCATGAACACCCACATGGAAACACACAAAATAATGCTTATTGCATATCTGGGATCCCTGTGACCCATCAAGTGGACACATAAAAGTGGAAAGCATACTGACTGTCCATGGGGTGGAAGGACAGGAACTGAGGAAGTGGTGGCTGCACTGTTTTTCTCACTGGCTCTGGCGGTGTCTGATATTGAGATGCCAGGATATTTGGCTGGTACCTCTGACCAGCAGGTCAATAGGGGTGACATGAGCACAATTAAGTCTGTGAACTTAATTCTTTTAGCACTCAAGCCTGCACAAGTCTGAATTCTTCCAAACTATCTTTAGAAAACTCAACCCACTGAGCAGTAATAGACAAACAAAAACTCTTTTTTGTCCCTAACTCCCATGAAGAATTTTGTCTTTTCTCAGTAAAAACTATGCCCTCTGCTTTAAGAAGAAAGAAGAGAAATCTTTGTTGTTGTTGTTGTTGTTGTTGTTATTGTTTTCCCATACACAAGTCTTAAAAGAGAAGGAAACCACCTCAGTTATCTCTGGGATATTATTAACATTAGCTCTCATCTTGCTGTTTTCCCCACAGGTGACAGAAATGTTCTTAGAAAATCACAAACTCTTTTGCAGATTACTTTTGGTGCTTTAATTTTTGTAGGCCTATTTATTGAATTCCATGGCTAGGCACAAAATAATTCCTTTTTAAGGATAGTTTGCTCACTTGATTGAAAGACCTTAAAGAAACCACTAATGTAAGTATACATTTCCTCAACTTCATACAACCATTAGGTAGGGTTATCATAGCTAACCTCTCTGGCTAATACTGTGTAGATGGCAACTGTAGTGAGTGGTTTCAAGGAGAAAAAAAAAATGAAGAAAAAGTGGTGTATTAGTTCGTTTTCATGCTGCTGATAAAGATATACCCGAGACTGGGTAATTTATAAAGAAAAAAAGGTTTAATGGACTCACAGTTCTACAGGGCTGGGGAGGCCTCACAATCATGGTGGAAGGCAAAAGGCACATCTTACATGGCAGTAGGCAAGAGAGAATGAGAGCAAGAGTAAGGGGGAGCCTGTTATGAAACCATCAGCTCTCATGAGTCTTATTCACTACCATAAGAACAGTATGGGGGAAACCATCCCCATGATTCAATTATCTCCCACTGGGTCACTTCCAAAACAGAAGGGAATCATGGGAGCTAGAGTTCAAGATGAGATTTGGGTGGGGACACAACCAAACCGTATGTAGAGGTGAGGATTCTACTAAGTGTAATGAAGTAATGGGTGCCCTACCAAATGTGAGTTAATGTTTTCCCAGCATGCTCAGATATTAGGTAATGTCTAAGTTTGCTGTTAAATGAGCACAGCAAATTACTCTTTCTGAAGTTCAACCCCATGCCCTGGTGGGAAGTTCCCACCTTGACTGCCCACTTTTATCACTAGTTACGTAGTAGGTGATCATTCCCTCTATATGTGGAAATTCGTAGCTAATCCATTTCACTTTCTCCCATTGATGGGTTCAGAAAATGAATACTCCATTCAGGAGCATCTTAAGGAACATAGGTTGGAAATGTAATAGGTTTGTCTGATAGTTTTTTCCCAAGCATAGAGCAATGTGGATGGATATTTGCTGGATACTAGCACATATGATTCATATGTCCTACGTTCATTGTAGTCTTACATTTAAATTGTGTATCCTCACTGAATACACTTGTTTGCTTCAGCACAATGGTCTGTGCAATATATATTTCTATGCAAATCTAAAGCTATTTATTGGAAATTTTTGGAGGATTTCTTCTATACTCTCAATAGACTGAAGAAAAAATATTCTAGGACTATAGTGAGGGATATTGTATTTTAAAATATAGAAGGGTTTACTCTTTTTTTTTTTTTTTGGTAACTCATAGCAAATAAACCCTCACTAAACCATAAACCCTTTATGCAATATACACTAATGATTTTCCTCCTCCATAGTTGTCCTAATACATTAAGTATTTCTACATCCTTAACCTATATGGCTCACACAGATGTCTTCTTCTCCAGTAGCGAAATGCAAAAGTCAGTGCTGCTCTTTATTATCAGCATCTGGTGGGTGAAGTAGAGAGGTTAAGGCATGATGTATTCAGTGTTTGCTTTTATCAGTCACTGCTTCTGCTCTCGAGTCATATTGCTTTTATTGCTTTCCAGAATTATGAATATTGTCAATTTTTTTCTGCCAGGAGCCCCCACCTCTACTGCCAGTTCACATGGCTGTCAAACAGTTGCTATATTACCCGTAATTCACATCTTCCTGGTCCACTGGCAGAGGCTGGACATTGGGAACCTTTCTTGAGGTTTATTATTATTATTATTACTACTACTATCATTACTTTGTACATGGAGAGATGGGTAAAGTCTCTCTGGGAGCCGAATCTCTAAGATGTAGACGTTAGGAGTTATTGGTAGTGTTTTCCACAGTGTAAGAAATGCAGTCCCAATGAGAAACATCACACGGAGAGATTCAGAAGAGAGGTATGAAGAAGAGTCCTCTGGGAATGATGTCGGGATCTTCCTGGGACTCAGGTCTGTCATTGTCTTTTCCCTCTGCTGTCAATTCATGAGCTTGTCCAATCATCCCTCAATGCATTTCCTTTTACTTCCCCCTGCAGACTAGTTTGAATTCTTTGTTTTATGTATAACATATTTTTGTCACCCCTTCCGAGAAATTTAGGGCAGTTTCAAAGAGGATGAGACAAAAGGTGACTTTTGTTTTTTGTTTTTTTTGTTTGTTTTTGTTTTTGTTTTTGTTTTGCCATAGCTCCTTTTGACCCAGATTCCAGGAAAGTTTCAGGCAGCTACTACCTGCAAATTATTAAGCACCTATTATGTGCCAGGGACACAGGAACAATATGAGTTTTTTTAATGTTAAAATTCTTTTTTAAAATATATTATTCTTCTTTCCATTTTTTCCTTCCTTCCTTCCTTCCTTCCTTCCTTCCTTCCTTTCTTTTTCTCTCTCTCTCTCTCTCTTTCTCTCTTTCTTTCATTTTATTTTATTTTATTTTATTTTTTTGAAACAGGGTCTCCCTCTCTTGCCCAGGCTGGAGTGCAAGATCATGGCTCACTAGAGCCTCAACCTTCCAGGCTCAAGCAATCCTCCTAAATCCGCCCCCTGAGCAGCTGGGACTACAGGCACAAGCCACCATGCTCAGCTAATTTTTTGTTGTTGTTGTTGTTCTTACTTTTCTGTAGCTATGGGATCTCACTCCTTCTTATTTTATATATTGTAAAACTGAAGCTCAGAAGAGGCAAGTCAATCTCCAAAGTCACAAAAGAGATAGTGATGAAGTTAAGATAGAAATCCAGTTTGGTTTGGCATCCGATTCAAAACCTGTTCTTACGAGACACCTTAGTATGCTATTCCTCACTCCAACCCTCCGCTTAAATCTCCCTTTGAGAGAGACAATCTGCATAACTCAGCTCCTTAATCACTTGGTCCAAACCCCCCAGTTCCTCATTCAGTCTTCTCTCTAAGAGCACTAGCAGCAGAGTGATCCTGCTATCCTCTTGCTTTGGGTTGAATGTTTGTTCTCCCCAAAAGATGTTGAAACCTAATCTCTCATGTGACAGAATTAGAAGGTGGGATTTGGAGATGTGATTAAGTCGTGAGGGCAGAGACTTTATAATTGAGTGGGTGTCTTGTGAGAGAGGCCCCAGAAGGCTGCCTCTCTCTGTCTACCATGTGAGGATGCAGCAAGCAGGAGCCATCAATGAACCAAGAAGTGGACCTCACCAGAAGCTGAATCTGCCAGCACCTTGATCTTGGCCATCCCAGCATCCAGAATTGTGAGAAATAATTGTCTGTGGTTATTAAGTCACCTAGCCTATAATATCCCATTCCAGTGAATCAAACAGACTGATAAGAATTGGTACTGACAAGTAAGGTGTCATAACAAATACCTACAAATGTGGAAGTGGCCGTGGAACTGGGTAGAGGCTGGAAGAGTTTGGAAACTCACAGTCCTACACTGCTGCCAACAAACCACTAAGCGTGATTCTAGTGAGGACTCGGAAGAGGAAAAGAGAGTTGCAGAGAAAGCCTCAGTCTTCTTAAAGAAAACCTAACTGGTTGTGAACAGAATGCTGTTAGAAATATGGATGAGAAAAGCTGCTGTGATGAAGTATCCGGGGCAAATGAAGACTATGTTCCTGGATAATAGAGAGAGGCTAAATATCCTCGGCTGTACTCTGTTCATGTCCTAGTGTTTTGTGGAAGCTAGAACTCGTGAAGGATGAAATGGGATATTTGGCTGAGGAAAGACCTAAGCAAAGCCTTGAATGGGTGGGCTAGTTTCTCTTGACCGCCTATAGTAAAAGTGAGGAGAGAGGGAAGCAGAACTTAAAAGATTTGGTATATTTTCAGCCTATTCATATTGTAAAGACTGAGAAAGGATGTTCAGGTGGAAGGTGTGACCAACAGACAGTTTGATAAGATTAGTCAGCCACCTCAGCAGAAGTCAGAGGCTAAGTCACACAGGTACCAATGGTCCCTCATTCAGTTCTTCCATTGTTTAAGACATCGTCTAAGACAACAGAAGAACGTAAATGAGGGCCAGTTGTGCCTGTGGGACTTTAGCATCTCCTGACCACCTGCACCTCACATAGAAGGCTGTAATCCCTGACTCCTGTGCAGCACTCCTCAGCTACCCCAGGTACCACTCTGATGGGCCCTGGTCCCCAGCAGAGCCATGGGAGCACAGCTGCATCCACCAAGATTTCAAAGGACAAAACTGTAGGCTTGATATCCCAGCCTCAGAGAGCCGTGGGGCCCAGGCACAGAGCTGCCGTAAGCCAAATTGT